TTCCAAACTCACTCAAGGTAAAAATAATAATAATAATAATAGAAACAAAAAAAATGTAATGTTCCATTAGAATTGGAATACCAGCTCATAATGAAAATGCATACACTGCCCAGATACGCTCACTGACGGCAGGGGCATTCCGGCAGCAATAAGGGCATTTAGTGCCTGGATTCTGTATCTAAATCCCACTTCCAAATAAAAGGAGTGGAAAGAAATGGCTGCCAAAGGTTTGGCAGAAAAAGCACAAGTGAACCTCAGACATCTTGTGTCAGAAAGCAAGGAATGTCTCAAAAGTGAAGTGTCACATCAAAGGAGAGAGCGAGCTGGAAGGACCTCAATATGCCCAAGCTGTGACAAGCCAAGGAAAAAGAATGACTATTTGAATAAAACACACTGGATATGTAAAAATTAAAAAAAAAACAATTAAAGGGTCTACAGTGATCCTTAAACAAGAGAAACCAAAAAAGAAAGTAACTCTATTCCTTCCACAAAAAAAAAGAAATCTCTGTAAGCAGGAAAAGGAACATCCTTTCCTCTTCTTATGGCCACGTCAGGACCCAACTGAGGCTAATAACAATCGTATTTGACATACGTGATGTAAGTAGTTAAACCAGGTCCAAACATTAAACCTAAGTTACAAGGTTAACGTTATAAGGATATAACTACAGACACACCAAACAAGTTAACTACAAATAAATATAATATTTTTTAAAAAAGTGGGGTCAGCAGGTGGCACGGAGGTTAATGCTGGATCCTTGGTCCTGGACCCCTTGGCCTGAGGTGCATGTGCACCCAAAATCTCAAGAGGAGAGTGGAGAAGGGACTGCAGTGTGGCCATCCCCCTTGTGGGGTGGGGGTGATTCCCCCATCCCGTCTCTAGTAGAGTGCACATGCCTTAGAGCAAAAACAAACTGAAAGTAAATGAATTAAACAAAAGCTCTAGCTCAGTTTCTGGAATGCATGGGAGGCCCAGGGCCCATTCCCACCTGCACCTGAACAGGCCAGGCACAAGCAGGGCTTCCCTCTCCCATCCATACTACCTCATACAAGCACACGTTCTCTGTCAAGAAAAAAGAATTGTTTTACTTTTTCCTTTTAAAGACATACAATAATCTAAAAACATTCCAGGTGGTACAAAAGAAGCCACTCACAGCAGCAACAGTGGTGCAGTGGTAATGCAATGGAGGCACATGGGAAAGGCTTACATCCCAGCCTCCCTGAGCACACCAACTAAACGCCGGCCCATGATCCGGGCTAGGTGCGGCCAACGCTGATAGGCAGCATGAAGACCCTGCTGGAACGTGTGCCTGTCTTTTTCTCTGCCACATTCTCAGGAAACCAATAAACTTCTAAAAGATTTTTAAAGGAAGAAAATGCCTTACTAGTCTTTTCCATTTATTCTCTCAACATTTGGATAAATAACCCTGTTGAATGGATCCTTACCCCCTCTTCTTCAAACCATTTTTTTAATTGCTAGAGGTCATGGGTACTAACCATAAAAAGACAGAGTAGGAGACAAGAAAACACCCCCAAGAGGAATGGCCACACTGCAATCCTTCCCCTTCCATCTCTTCTTCCTTTAGGATTTTAGGCACATACACCCACAGCCATTGTGTTTCTTAAACTGCAGAGTCTGGGACTCAAATTACAGTCAGCCATGTGGGATCTGGCTGCTTTAACTACCAACCCATGAGGCTGGCCCACCCAAAGGCAAAGGTAGTATAACAGTTAACATTTGCTATCCAGACCAGTTCCCCCTTCCTCAAATGACTTCACCATCCTAACCGGCAGACTCCTCCAACCCCCATTCACAGCGCTATAAACACAGGTCAAACTGTGGTCACTACATGGGAGTTTAGCGACATAGCCATTACGCTAACTTCTGGTCCCTTAAAATGTCTCTGAATCTATCTGCTGTGTCTGTAGTAGTTACAGAAAAGTGCTTTATTTAAACTGTTTTCTGCTCATTAGGTTTTGCACTGTGTCTCTCACTCACTCATTCTCTGGGTGGTCTGTTGGTTCCTTACTGTGAGCAGTATTGAATTTACCTCTGTCCTCGTCCCCTCTCCATCTAAAGCAAGGTACGTTCTTTCATTCCAGGTTACGCTGGGGGTCACCTTGCTGGTCTCACTCTGCATGTTCTTTCCTCCTGTTCTGGACAGCGTGTTAGCCTGTGACGTCAGGACAGGTCGCAGTCACTGCCCTCTCCTGCCGGTCCTGTGCTGGGGCTGCTCTGGGAGGCTCTCGATCCTCTAAGCGCCTTGAACTGTAACTTCAGGACGACTGCCTGGCAGCAGTCTCGCCTCTGTCCCGTCCTGCTGTGTCTGTTACCCAGCGCACCACCGACGGCTGATGCGGCTCTTGCCTGACCACGCTCCTCGCCCCACCTTTCCTTTCCCCTGAGAACCTGGAACCCTGTTGTCTCCTGTCACAATGTGCTGCTGCCAAATTCTGATTCTCTTTCCTTTACACATGATTTGGTCCTTTTTCCTAGATGGTCAGAGATCTTATGAGATGTCTTGGAGTCAGTCATTCTGGTCTCATTCTCCCAGCGTGTGCATTTGTACCTTCAGGTGTTTTATTTCAGCAAAGCTTTCTTTTTCTTTTTGGAGAGATTTTTGCTACAGGGCACATGCACTCCCAGACAGAAACAGAAAGACAGAAGTGAGAAATCACCCCCCAGGGGGGATGGCCTCACTGCAATCCCTTCTCCTCCATTCTCCTCTCGGGATCTTGGGCACGCACGCACATGCGCCTGTTGTGAGTTTAAGCCACCGAATCCGGGACTCGAACCGCTGTCGACTACATGAGAGTTCAGCGACTTAGCCATTACACTAACTGCTGTCCTGCAAAGTTTTCTTGATCTCTGGATTTTGGAACTGTTTTCTGTTGCTTTGATTTTCGTTTTTAGGTACTTACTGTTGCATGGAAGTTGAAGTCCCTCTTTAAACCATTCATGCTTTTGCCCTGCCTCTGCTGTCCCGCCACCTCCCTTACGACTCCCGTGGTCTGTCCTCTCAGGTCCCTCAAGGTTAGCCAGGCTTTCTGAAAACCTGTTCTAAGTGCGGGTGGCTTCCATGCCGTGTGTGATTGATCACACATCTCCTCTCACCTGGCCATTTCAGTTACCGTTAGGAAGAACCGCTCACAGGACAAGTGGAGACCCAGGAGAGCCAGGGTGCAAGGTCCAGTCCAGGCCCAGGGGCCCGAATGCCAGGGCCCCAAGCAGAGCCGGGAGGATGGCCGTCCCAGGTTGGGCAGGCAGGGAGCAGAAGGGGCAGCTGGCCCTGTCTAGCCCTCCGTGGTTGGAGCTGTCCATGCACAGTGAGGGCAGGTCTTTTCTCGTCATCAATCCCTATGCCAGGCTCCTCAGAAGGCTCATCTCTCCCAAAACCCCCCAGAGACACACCCGGAAACTCTGCTGGCTGGAGCTGTGCAGTCAGGCTGGCCCTCGAGTTCCCATCGCAGTTCACCATGACGGCCACTGTGCTCACTGGGTGTCTGATGATGGTTCTGTCCACCTTGTGGACATTGTGCTCCGCAGAACATCCTCCAGACTGCTCCTGACAGCACGCAGGTGCCGCTCGCGTGCTCCTTTCCGACACTGTAAGAGAGAGCGTGACTTTCCTAGCTTCAGAGTGCTCAGGCTCTTCTGTTTTCTGTGGTGTTTTAGAATAAGGCCCCTCTGTGCAGCTACCTGTCGGGCTTGTGGAGATCTGCCTCCGCGGTGTCTTCTTTGGCCCCCACCTTGCCGCTGCCTGGCTCAGTTAAGGTTGTCTCAGCAGGGTGTCTCACTGCCACGTCGACCTGCAGGGTCAGCCTTCCTGGAGGGAGGTTTGCTGGGTGTTTGCAGACCCCCGAGGGCCTAGGCAGACCAGGTACTTTCTGGCCTCACGAGGGTGGTCACCTCGTACCAGTCCCAGTCTCCCTGGCTGGAGTGCTGACTCCATGTGGCGAAGTACCACTGTTAGGACCAGCGCATCTGGAGGTTGTCGGATGCTGTCTTTGCTATTCCCCCAGGGCCTCTGACTTGGCTGATTACACCTAATTAGCCTAGAGTAAGTCACCCCAGGTTAGGATGTGTATCATCATGGCTTTAAATGTTACTACCTACAAAAGATTATTTTTTAACAAACTGTCACCTATCAGGTTGCTAATTGTGTTTGTTCTGGGCATGCCAGATCAGAGCATTAGGTCCTTGTGAGTGGGAGGAGTTCTCCGCTCAGTGCTCTTAGTGTCTCTTCCTGGGCGTGGACCAGCATCTGCCCACTTGGCTATGGCCTTCAGCCTACCTCCGAGGCACGCATTGTCCCTTGTCTTGACTTTCAAGGCGCAATGAAGATTTCTGGTATGAAGAGCCAAGTATATTATTTGTAAAAATTACATGTACATTTTTCACTCGCTAAAGATTGATGTTGTCCCAGTCATTGAACCCTGAGCTTCAGTGCTAACTGAGGTTGTATTTCCTACAGCAGTAATGGTGGCGTGGTGTACACGTGCCAGCCCGCACTCCAGTGTGAACAGGCTCAGTGTGTGCTGGGTTCTCATGGCTCAAGCCAGTAGGGACAGGATCATTTGGACATTAGAATGGGTGACAGTGAAGAGTTCCAGATTGATTTTTGGCTTCAAAGGAATTCATATTACAGAAAGTTGTGTTCATGTGTAACTCCTAGCGTAAACTATTTCGTGTAGTCAGCCCCTCTCTTTTATCTCGTGGGTCATCACAAGTTGCCGGAAGTAGGGGAAACTCAGAAAGCTGGAGAATGGATGCTTAGTGGGAGGTTGTGGTCGTTGCTGCCCATGCACACCGTTCAGGTGCACTGGCAGCCCCGTGGCTAACACTTGGGGGCGAAGGGCCTCACCCTCGTGCCAGCACTGTGCAGGCGCTCGTGGACGCCAGACTTGGGGTCCCCTGGAACGAGGGCATGCTAGCCAGGAGTGGTGTTGGCCCTGGGTGTGTGCGCTTTGAGGTAACCCTTGTGTGTATGTGTGCGATACAGAAAACACCGGAGCACCGTGGGGCCCAGCAAGCCCGTGTCCCAGCCCCGGCGGAACATCGTCGGCTGCAGGATTCAGCACGGGTGGAAGGAGGGGAACGGCCCTGTGACCCAGTGGAAAGGAACCGTTCTGGACCAGGTGCCTGTCAACCCTTCTTTGTATCTTATAAAGTACGATGGATTTGACTGTGTTTATGGACTAGAACTTAATAAAGATGAAAGAGTCTCGGCGCTCGAAGTCCTCCCTGATAGAGTCGGTAAGTGCCTTGCCTACTTGTGCTTTAAAAATGATACAGAAATGAGTGTTTTGATTGTTCTTTTACTTTACCAATACTTCTACTTTTCTTACAACTCAAACACTCCTGATGGACATATAAATCAGTCCCCTGAAAATGCAAAAGTTTCCAGACAAGATGTTCTGAATCCACAGTTGAAGGAACTGTGAAGGATATTAAGATGTAGCATTTCCCCAAAGAAGTTCGTACTCTAGTAGTTTCTGATATGGTCCTTTTTAATGTTTTCGCTCACCACTGTCTGGACTCTGAGGGGCCATTTGTCGTGAGCTCATATGCCTTGTACGCTGTTGGAGTTATCAGGTCCAGAACTAAGAGCAGCATTCACTGCAGAACCGTGACGTCATGTGACCATCCCAGGGCGTGTCACATAAATGACTGCGGTCTGTGCCAGAACACGTGGGTTGAGCAATGTTAGTGGAAGTGAGTAGCTGCCCCTCCGTCCTCTGATGTCACACAGCATTGGCTTTGCCTTGTGCATTTTCCTAAGGCATGGGGTCTAAGCTAAGTAGTAGTCAGGGACTGTATTTTTAAGTAGAATGGGATAAACCTTAATATTACTTTCTCCAGCATATTTTGAAGTGTTTTTATTACAGTGATGCTGCTACTACTTTGAACACTGGTTCATACTTTTAGAATTGTTTTTAAAGGTCTGTGCCTTTAACATGAAGCTTTAGATCGAAACATAAAGGACACAAATTTGAGGATCAAATTGTCAAGGGGAGAAATAAATAGAATCCTTTCCTTTGGATTGTGCCATTTTATATATATGTTTTTTTTTTTTTTTTTTTTTTTTTTTGAGTGGTTTTTGCTATAGGGCTCGCGAGAGAGACAGACAGAAAGCGAGAAATCACTCCCCAGGGGGGATGGTCACGGCACAATCCCTTCTCCTCTTGGGATCTTAGGCATGCACGCACACGCACCTGGCTTGATTTTAAGCCACCAGGTCTGGACTTTTGAAGCACAGTCGACTACGTGGGAGTCCAGCAACATAGCTATTACACCAACTGCTGGTCCCATGTTGTTATATTCTTGGGATATAGGAGTCTCTCCAGCAAGTTTCTTCTTTGCTGCATGTAACTCTATTTTGTTAATCATCCCTTTAGGTAACAAAAACTAAACCTTTGCTTCTCCTATGTAAGCATAATTCGGGATTCACAGAAGTCCTTCAAATTGCGGTTCGTGGTTTTTTTTTTTTTTTTTTTTTTTTGTAGTTTGCCAGAGGGCAGATGCACTCATTGGAGAGTGACAGTGAAGAAGAAAGAGAGAGGGAAAGTGAGAAAGCACCCCTCAGTGGTCATGAGACAGTCCTTTCTCCTCTTGCTGGGATTTTGGGCCCTCACACATATGTACTCCGTGTGTTCTCCAGCCACTGGGTCTGGGACTTGAACTACATGGTCAGCCACGTGGGATCCAGCCTTCTCAACACCATGCCATGGGCTGGCTGAAATTCAGATTTGTGTTGTTATTCCTGAAGTAGTGTTGAATCTTCGACATTTTCAACATTCTCACCTGTTCTCAAGTGTGACTGAACACAGCCACCCACTCCCCCTCCTTATGCACATCCTGAACTTCTTGACCCTCACATCAGTCCATTTGGCCCATATGGAACTTTGACCTGTTAGAATCTTACCTGTAGGGCTTAAAGGAATATTACCCAAATACTTTCATCAATTATTTGTGCTAAATAATGGCCATGCCTTTTTTTTTTTTTGACCGAGGCTGCTAGAGCATGTGAACCTTCTTGTGCTGCTCCCGGGCCTGGGCACCTCTGCCCTTCTGCCCTCCTAGACAGAGATGAGCACTTCTCACGGGGTGGGGCTGCAGTTCCTGAACGTCTTGTGTAGTGCTGGACTATCTGTTTCCAGCAGTAGGCATGGGTTGCTTTGGGCAACAGAAAAGCTACTTTAAAAAAGAAATCCAAAGCCTCTTGTGCACATCTACGGCCTCTCACGTGCTTAATTCAGTTAGCGTCAGTTGCTGTGATTTTTAGTATTCACTGTGCTACTCGAGTCTAAAAAATTATTTGCCCTTTCACTTACGTTCCAGCAGGAGGATAGCAGTCTTCCCTCATTTACTTAGGGCAGTACACTCAGCTGCATTTACAGTTCGGTTTTCCTTAAGCAAAAAAAGTGGAGAGAGCAGTAAGCCAGTCAGCTAGAGGGCACACGATGGCACGGAGCCAGGGTCCTCAGAGCAAGGTCTGGGACCCCAGGCGTTTCCTCAATCCCACACAGAAGGTTCGAGAGGCCAGTGGTTTCTCTGAAAGTGAAACATAGTTTAGCCTCTTCAGTCTCCGCTCTGCACAGTGGAGTCCCTGCTGCCATATTGGAAGACCTGCCTAGTTCCATGAACATTGGGGTACTTTGCATGAGCAGTGTGTGAGATTATGAAGCCATACAGTTGTAAACAGCATACATTCGAAATGCAAGACTGGCAATTTTTTTTGAAGAGGTTTTTGCTTTAGAGTGTGTGTGCATGCTAGAGAAACAGACAGTGAGAGGGAAAGGGAGAAATCACCCCCAGGAGGGATGGCCATGCCACAGTCTCTCTTCCTCCATTCTCTCAGGATCTTGGGGACTCACACGCTCCTGGTGTGATTTTTCAGGCCACAAGGTCCAAGACTTAAACTGTGGTCGGCCATGTTGGAGCCTAGCAGTGTTAACTGCTGCGCCATCTGCTGGTCCCAAGACAATTTTTTAAAATTGTGATTAAAAAAAATTTTTTTTTTCTCTTACCCATGTTTAAGTGTATAGTTTAGTAGTGTTAAATATATTCACATTGTGGGACCAGCAGTTGGTATAATGGTTACATTGCTGGACTCCCCCATAGTTGACTGAGGTTCAAGTCCTGGACTCGATGGTTTAAACTCACACCGGGCCATGTGTACATGAGGGCCCAAGATCCCGAGAGGAGAATGGAAGAGGAGGGATTGTGGCGTGACCATCCCCCCCCGGAATGATTTCTCGTTTTCTGTCTTTACAGAGTGCAGACGCACCCTATAGCAAAAATCTCTCTTGAAAAAATAAATACACATACACACAGATGTATATTGTTGTGGAATATACCTTCAGAACTGTTTTATCTTGCAAATCCAAAACTCCGTATCCGTGAAACAGCTACTCCCCTTCCCCTTCCCCGTGCCCCAGCCTCTGACAGCCACCCTTTTAGTACTTTGTCTCTGTGATTTTGAGCTTCTAGCACAGCTCAGCAGTGAGATCACACAGTATTTGTCTTTCTGCGACTGGCTTGTTTCAGTAGCATCCGTGGGGCGGGGCTGCCTCTTGAAGGCTGAGAGTTCGCCACTGTGTATGTATTCCTTTCCACTGGTCTGTTTGCCCGTGGACATCCGGCTGGCTGCCCCCTCTAGGTAGGGTGTAAAAGTGAACTTGGGTGTGCACACATACCTCTTTGGGATATATACCCAGAGGTGACGTTGCTGTATATCATATGTGGTAATGTGTGTATATACATTCACATAGAAGTACACACACACACACACACACACACACACACACACGCTCTTCTAGGACCTCAGTAAGGTGTGGGAACATAAAGAGATTCTGAGGTCCAGGAGTCTGACAGGTAGAAACAGGTGGGAATTTGGAGGGGGTGGGGGGGGGGGGGGGATTTTGTTTTGATTTTGTTTTCTGTTCTTTTGTTTCGTTTTGTTGGTGTATGTGTATATGTCACTGTAGAGAATGATATGTAATTTTTGATGATTATTGCTTATGTCAGCAAAGAAAGTCACCATATATGTTGAATGTCCTTATTGAATAGCAGTACTTTCATTAAGAAGACCTTGTGCTTTATTTAACAGAGAGAGCAGTCTGCTGAGTGAGTAACGTAGGAGTGTTAATCATCTTTTAAAGATGATCATCTAAAAATTTAAGGCATAGAGAAACCTTAAAGCCAGCAAGATCGTCCATAATTTTCACAGTATTTAAATGAAGTTGGTAATTTCATAAATTTATTTTATTGAGAAAGAGAGAGAGAGAGGCGCAAGCACCTTCAGCAGGGTCTCCCAACACGATCCCCATTCCCTCACCCTCCTCAGCTCCCAGGTGGCCAGGTTCCCAAGAACACATGCATATGCCTGGTGTGTGCGGATTGACCTGGATTGAGCCCCAGTTGTCCCCGGCCCCGAGCGTGGTGCCCCCGCTGTTCAGCGCGCTCCACCTCCCATGCTTCTTACAGGGTGCAGAGTAGGACCAGGCCTGCCAATGCACGGTTAGGGAGGCCTGAGCTTGAAGCCACGTGGCCGTCTTACACATCATTAAATAAGGACTGAACTGTTGCATCTGGGCATCCAAAACTAGAGGGAAGGCCTCTGCTCTCATGGGGCGTACACGCAGTAAACAAGTAACCAGGGAGAGCAAGGTAGCTTGAGTAATGTCAGATGCTGTCAACAACTAAAACTAGGTGACGTGATCGGAACTGCTGGGCTGCATTTGCACAGGTTGTCACGGAGAGTCCCAGGAGCTAGAGGAAAGTGTACCCATGAGGGATAAGCAGGGGAGGGTCATCTTGGATGAGGGGAAAACAAAATCGCTGAGGTGAGGGTGGCGAGGAGGTAGGTGTTAAAATCCACGCAGTATAGGGCCTGCCAGCTCTGGGGGAAATTTGGTTATTTTCAGATTGTAAAGTGAGGCACTGTATTTTTTTTTTTTTTTTTTAATTTGCCATGGGGCACATGCGTGGCGGGGTGGGGGGGTGGTGAGAAAGCACTTCCCAGGGTGGCTGGCCACACTACAATCTCTTCTCCATTCTCCCCTTGGGATTTTGAGCATGCACACACATGTTCCTGGCATGTTTTTCATGCTACCTGGCCCAAGACTTGAACCACACACTTGGCCACATGACGTCCAACAGCCTTATTCTCCACCCACTGGCTGACTCCACATTTTAACAATGTGAGAGACATGTTAACCAGGCTCACTGTGGTCACTGTGAAGAGTAGACTGAAGGGCCCGAGTCCAAACCTACACCTCAGCAGAAACTGGAAATGAGCTTGCTTGATGGAAAACTAATAGCAGTTTCTTAAAACAAAACTGCCTTGAATAGTGTCTGTTTCTTGGTTTTAATAAATGGTCTGTGGGAACCAGCAGATGCGGTAATGGTTACATCGCTGGACTCCCACGTAAGTCAACTGCGGTTTGAGTTCTAGACCTGGCAGCTTAAAACTCAAGTTGGGCACATGTGTGGGTGTGCCCAAGATCCCAAGAGGAGAATGAGAGGGGATTGCAGTATGGCCTTCCCCCTGGGAGGTTGGGGTGAGGGGTGATTTCTCGCTTTCTGTCCTCTCTGTCTGTCTCTCTGGCAAATGCATGGATTGTATAGCATAAATCTGTCTCAAAAAAAAAAAAAATGAAACAACAAAAGTCTGTGATAATGTGAGATTGTTAATATAAAGGGAAGCAGGGTGAAACCCATGTGGGAATTTCATTATTTTTGCAGCTCTTTTGTAAGTCTAAAAATTCTTAGAGTTTAAAATTCTGTTTATAAACAAGAACGGAAACACTTCATATCTTGAATGAACAGTTAAAAGTTTTGATTTAGGTACAGTGCCGAGAACGGATGAGTCCAGAAAAACGCAGAGACAAAGTCTGATTCCTCCAGTTAGCTGATGGGGGACGAGCTCTTGCCTACTGCGTCCAGCATTGGGCGATACCCCCTAGTTTGTACGTGGTGGTTGTGCTGCTTTACACCCTCCTGGTGTTACTGAGGCTCACTGATATGTTGCAGGCCAGAATTCAGGCAGTCTTTCTTAAATAAGCTCAGTAGTAAGTAATCAGTAAACACTGTGTCAACCATTTTTTTTATATCCCCAGCGACCTCTCGAATCAGCGATGCGCACTTAGCAGACACAATGATCGGCAAAGCGGTGGAGCACATGTTTGAGACAGAGGATGGTTCTAAAGATGAGTGGAGGGGGATGGTCTTAGCACGGGCACCTGTCATGAACACGTGGTTCTACATTACCTATGAGAAGGACCCTGTGCTGTACATGTACCAGCTCTTAGATGATTACAAAGAAGGCGACCTTCGCATTATGCCTGATTCTAGTGAGTACCTTTTATTCTGATCACTGAAAAGGCATCTGGATTTTAGGACAAGATACGTGATTAGCTCTTTCACAGAATCACTATTTTGGGTGGGGAATATAAATTATTTTTCGGTCATACACAAGCATAGGCTGTGAAATTTTTACTCTCGTCGTGAATTTTAAATTTTAAAACTTTTAAGAGTTTGGAGGTTCTGCTTGATACAGTGTATCATTCGTTCCTTTTTATTAATTAAAAAATACTAAGGTATGGGGACCTGTTAAATGCCTGTGTATCAGTCACTGAGCTTTAACTGTTACAGTCTCTTTGTCTTATTTTATCTACTCTTCCCCTGAGTTCTTTTGAAGCTAATCCTACACATTGATCATTTTATCTGTAAATATTTGAACTTTGCTTTAGGGAGTACTGATTTCAAATTAGGGGCCCTTTCAGTAGCAACTGGATTTCAGTGTCTATTTAAACAGGCCATGTAGCTATTTTCTACAGGTTGTCTCAGGTAATTGAAACTGATGTGGGGAAGGGAGAAGGGCTGTGTAACCCAGGCTGTTCTTACTTTTATTGTGATGTTATTCCTATGTAAGCTACAATCCAGTGGTTTTCCGTATATTCACAGCTACGTGCGGTTCTTTCACAGTCAGTTTTAGAACATTTTCATCACCTGCAAAGAAAACCTCAGATCTTTTAGCTGTTGTTTGGTTATCTCTCTAAGCACCCAGTTACTCGTTTTCTGTATGGATCTCCTTGGACTGTACAGTGTGAGGTCCTGATGGCTTTTCTTCACCCAGCATGTTTCGGATTTCCTCAGGGTTGTAACTTCTATCATTACTTCACTCCTTATAATGCCCATGCATGAGTCCACTGTGTGGATATACCACGTCCTATTCAAATGTGTTCGTTGAGGGGCGTACGGGTTGTTCTGCCTTTTGGTTGTTAATGCAGCACGCTGCTGTGAACGTTTGTGTACAGGTTTCTGCGTGAACATTTGTTTTTAAAGTCTCCAGGATACATACCTAGGAGTGGGATTGTTGGGTTGTAATAGTAATGCTATGAAGGGACTTCAGAAGGTTTGTGGAAAATGGAATTGAAGGATAAAAATACAGATTGTAACTTTTACGTCCCCACATAAGCTCCATCAAGATTGAGACACTTCTGTAAGCAGTAGGGCCAGCCAGTTAGCCCAGTCCTTAAGAACTGAGGGGTGTGTCAGTGCAGTCTTTTTTATTTTGTTAACTGAAGAAAAATGGATGCCCTTTAAAGATGCTTTTAAGATTAGAAAACTGGGAACCAGCAGTTAGCGTAATGGCTATGTTGCTGGACTCCCAACATAGTCGACCCCGGTTTGTGTCCCGGACTCGGTGGCTTAAAACTCACGCCGGGCATGTGTGCGTGCGTTCCCAAGATCCTGAGAGGAGAATGGAGGAGAAGGGATTGGGCATGACCATCTCCCCTGGGGGGTGATTTCTCGCTTTCTGTCTCTACGTCTCTCTCTGTCTGTCAGGCAAGCGCACGTGCCCTACAGCAAAAAACCTCTCCCCAAAAAAGATTAGAAAACTGAGGGAAAAAAGTCAGAAGGAGCCAGATCAGGATTAACAGTTGAATACCTAATGATTTCCCAGAGAACTCTCACAACATTGCCTTTGCGTGATGGGAATAATTGAGCAGGGGCTTGGTCATGGTAAAGCATGACTCTGGTGAGGCTTTCCTGCGTGCCTTCTGCCGAGGCCAGCTACCTCTCCTAACAGGCAGATGTTAACACACTGGCTCTTCTGGGTGTCAACCAGCAAAATGCCTCGAGCTCCCAAAAACTCTGTTGCCAAGACCTCTGCTCTGGATCAGTCTGCTTTTGCTTTTACTAGACAACTTCCACCTTTTGGTTGCATTGCTTTTATCTTGCTTTGTCTTCCAGATCCTCCTGGTAAGGCTACATGCCATCTCCTCTTGTTATAGTTCTTTGAAGAAATGCTTAGATCTTGATGCCACTTGTTTAAAATCTTCATTGAAAGCTCTGCTCTTGTCACAGCTGATCTGGGTGTAGTAGTTTTGGCATCCATGAACCAAAAAATTTGCTTGAATTTTCAGCCAGAATTGTGTCAGCCAAACCAGTCGAAATGTCTGCAGTGTTGGCAACATCTCTGCTATGAGTTGTCAGTCCTCTTTACAAACCAAAATAATTTTTCCTTGCAAATTGGCATGGATGTTCTATCCTATGGGCATCATCCTAACATTATCTTGTTTCTTCTTAGAACGAATTATCCATTTGTAAGCTGTTGATTTCTGTGGGAGTACTGTCCCCATAAACTTTGTAAAGCATCAGTGGTGTCACCATTTTTTACCCAAGCTTCACCATAAATTTAATGTTTGTTCTTGTTTCGGTTCTAGCACAGATCGTATTTCTTTGGCAGGGCTCTCTTATTTGAATTTCCAGAGGGCACATACACTCACTGGAGTGGAGTTAGGGTGAGCGGTGCAGAAGGCATTCCCCAGTGGGCCACGATCACGCCATAGTCCATTCTTCATTTCTCCTTCCTGCTGGGATTTGGGGCACGCATGTGCATCTATCCAGCATGTTTTTCAAGTTGCTGGGGCCCAGATGTGAACTGTGCTGTCAGCCACATGAGATTCAGCTTCCTTAGCAGCCAGGTAATGAGACCGTCCCAGTGGTCTCTTCTCAAATCAATGTCTTCTTAGCGACTCAGACTAGCTCTCGTTCATATGTGTTGTAACAGGTTAGTATGTTTGTTCTGGTGCAAAAAAGTTACTGAACTCTATGCATAGTTTTCTCATATTATGCATTTTCCATGAACTTTTTGAAAACCCTCTTCCTTATGTTTAAATACTTGGAGAAACTACCGGAGTAATTTCCAAAGTGGCTAGAGAATTTTATATCCTCACCAGCAGTGTGTGAGGGTTTTGACCTCTCCTCATCTTCACCAGCAAAGAGCTGCTACTTGACTTTTTTACTGTAACCATCTTATGCTTATGATGGTTACAGTATTGATGTGAAAAGTGTTTCATGGTTTTGTTTTGCATTTCTCTGAAGACCACAATGTCATGCCTCTTTGTGTGCTAATTGACCATTTATATATCCTCTTTAGTGAGATGTCTGTTCAGACTCCCTGCCCTTTTCTTTTTTCTTGTTTGTTTTTAGAAGTAGAGTTCTTGCTAATGTTGTCCAGGCTGGTCTCAACCTCTTGCTTCAGCCACTGGAGTATCGAGAGTACAGGCGTGTACCCTATCCCCTTTTTAAATTGGGTTATTTGTCTTTTATTATTGGGTTGTGAGAACCAGTATTCTAGATATAAGTCTCTTATGAAATGTATTATTTGCAAATATCTTAAGTTTAATTTATCTATTTTTTTTCTTTTATTGCTTTTGCTTTTGGTATCATATAAGAATTTCCTGCCAAATTCAAAGTTATGAAGGTTTTTAACTACCGTTCTCTTCTAAGAACTTTTAAATTTTTATGCATAAATTTTATGCAGTTTTAATTCTTATGCATAAATCCTTGATACATTTAGAGTTAATTTTTGGTTATGGTATGAAGTAAGAGCCCAGCTTCATCTTTGTGGCTGTCCTGTTTGAGCATCATTTTTTCCAAAGACTATTCTTTCCTCCATTGGGTAGTTTTGTTGAGGGGTGAGTGTAGTTTTGGACTCTCATTTTTTCCTATTTGTCTGTTTTTAGGCCTGTGCCACACTGTCTTGATTACATTACCTCCTAATATGAGTTTTGAATTGAAGAAGCATGAGTCCACCTACCTTGCTCTTTCTTAGGATTATTTTAGCTAGCCCTTGCAAATCCATATGAATTTTAGAACCAACTTGTCTGTTTCTGCAAAGAAGTCAGCTGGGGTTCTGATAAGGATTGTGTTGAATTTGTAGATCAGTTTGGAGAGCATTTTCATCTTAACAAGCATTGTCATGCTAATGACTTTTGAACCATCTTCTGATCCATGGACATGGGAAACTTTTCCATTATTGAAGTCTTAATTTGATTTCTTTGAATAACTTTTTACAGTTTCAGAGTACAAGTATTGTGTTTCTTTTGTTAAATTTACTATTAGTGTTTTATACTTTTAGATGCTATCATAAATGGAATTATTTTCTTAATTTCATTTTTGGATAAGTCTGTTGCTTTTTAAACTTCACCATGCCTTTCTTCAAACAACTGGATCTCCAACCTCAGATAGGCAGACACACTATATATAGCAATATGATAGTAATCATCCCCCCACCCCCTCCTTTTTTTTTTTTTTTTTAAGTTCTTCCTGTAGATAAGCCAACTAATGAATTTACTAATATGCTCACCTGGTCTTGAATTCGTAGTTAAATTTTTGTTCTAAGTTTGGTTTAATTTGTTGTAAAGTGGTGCTGGGAATTAAAGGGATTTCTTAGGAGCATTTTTTCAACTTGTATGAAGTTCCTATCTAATATATTTGTTGAGCAGTACCCAGTTGAAGCAAGTACAGTGTGTTATTAACCTAGTGATAGGAGTGGAAGATGACGTGCTTAACTCCCAATGCCTTTCCTCGCCACGTCATGCCTTCTCACACTTTTACCCTTTTTTCTCTCTGAAGAGAGAGTGGCGAGGAACTTTACTTTTTATTTTTTGCTACAAGAGGTTTACGCTTGAGACAGAGGGGGAGGGAAAGTGAAAAATCACCCCTCAGGGGTTTGACTATCACAATCCCTTCTACCATTCTTTCAGGATTTTGGGCACTCACGCAGACGCACCCAGAGTGATCTTCAAGTCACCAGGTCTGGGACTTGAACAGTGCAGTTGGACATGCGGGATCCAGCTCTCTTAACCTCCATGCCACTGCTGGCCCAGCATAAAACTTGACTTACGACGGGAAACAGATACAGAGAGGTCCTGTTGTCTCGGTCCGAGACCCAGCTCTGTTGCTGAAGTGGCCTCTGAGTCCGTTGGTTCTCAGTCCCTGTAAAATTTACACATGATCAAGTGTTCAGGATTCCTTTGTAAGTGCCGAAGCACCATGGGAATATGACAGTATGGTGCTGCTTTTGAGGGGAGAGGATTTTCGAAGAAAAGAGGTTTAGATTTCTTTTTAGTTTATTTCAAAGAACTGATTAGGTTTAGGTTTTTTGTTTGTTTGTTTTTAGGTGTCTTTCTTACATTGCTGTGACCGTTAGTACCCAAGATCAGAGGAACAGGTTTTGGGCTGTTACTTGGTGACATCAGCTGAACAGGCTTTGGGGCTGTTACTAGGTGACATCAGCCGCCATTGCTGCTGTTCATAAACGTACATTCGGTGGCCCAGCCTCGGACACTTGTAAAAGGAAGGTGGTGTACCACTGCTGTGTGCTAGGTGACCAGGCCTGCCTCGTGTGATGGGATGCCTCGCCACTTCCCGGGCCAGCCGTACTCTGCTATAACAAGGCAAAGAGCTTTGAGTCACTCAGAAGCGCTCAAAAGTTTCTTCAAACAGAATGGTAGCCGCTTAGTTCCATCCCCCTCTTTTTTCCTTCTGCTTTGCTTTGTTGTTGTAGGTGGGAATGGTTTGCTGTTGTTTATGCGTTTGCCTAGAGGTTACAGGGTGACAAATTTCCCAGGGACCCTTTTCAGACTATTCAGGTGTCCAGCTGTTCTGAGATTCCCTTAGATAAGATTCCTTCAGATGGAGGCTAGGGTTAAGTTCACGTAGCCCCTATTTTCATGGCCTGGGTAATGTCTTTTGTTTTGAAACTGGTTAGGAAGATCATGCAGAATTCTGTGAAGTTGAGGCGGGAGAAGGTTTAAGGGTTCCATGTAAAACCAGTGATACACAGGCATTTGTTCATGGTAGTCCCCGAGGAATTGTTGTTCACAGTCCTCTCTCTTAGGGTTAGGGCCTTACTGCAGTAAGCACACAGGAGCCAGTAGGGGTTTGGGTTGTGGTTTCCAGAGGTCATTGTCCCCAGCGGGGGCAGCAGATTGTTCTTGTCCGGTTTCTCTGGGGTGCAAGCACACCCCTCCCAGTACCTCCTAGCTGACAGAGCTGGGTTCAGCTGGGACCATATGCCCTCAGGCCTGAAATGCTCCCTTCTCTGCCCTTGGAGAGAGGTCTGGTTGCCTGTGATAAACTCAGGATACTTAAGATTCTTAATTATTTTATACTTGTTGATCTAAATTCTGTTTCTTTTATTTAAATACAGATGATTCCCCTCCAGCAGAAAGGGAGCCAGGAGAGGTTGTGGACAGCCTAGTGGGCAAGCAAGTGGAGTACGCCAAAGAAGACGGCTCGAAAAGGACTGGCATGGTCATCCACCAAGTGGAGGCCAAGCCCTCGGTCTATTTCATCAAGTTTGATGATGACTTCCATATCTACGTCTACGACTTGGTGAAAACGTCCTAGATGTCATCACGAACTTTGCCAAATTTGTGGAACTATGAAATGTATCATTTGTAGACATAAAGACTTGATTGCTTTCCAGTTTAATGAAAGCTTAAATGTCCCTGCGAACCCACAATCTCTGCCAGCAGAACTGGTTTCGTTCTAGTAGTACAGATTGATGTGAACACAAAGCATTTTGTGTGAGGAGACCTCCTTCCTCTTAAGGGAAGTCTGTCTGGAGGGGAGTTACAGGCAAGTTTGGTCAAAGTTGAGCTAGTGTCATAGTCATTTACAACTGTCATGGACCTTAACCATTCCCCTTCACTCTGACACAGTCTATTCTGCTGCCACAATGCAAGCATAGTTTGGTATTTTTGTTATTGCCTTTCTTGAGATATATGTACCTATATCTACCTATCTATACTTATATCTGTGTGCATACGTATATAATATATATACACACACAGAGACATGTACACACACACACACCATTGGCAGTCCTTTCTTTGTGGATTGGGATGGGGGTGATGTAATTTTCTCCAGTTTAACAGGAGTGCTTGACCCAGTCAGTCATATTTATGATATTACTGCTCTTTGTTTAAAATTGAATTTGGGCGTAGGGAGCACATAGGGACAGAGAGCTTGTTTTGGAAGTCAGAGAGGAGCTCAAAACACCTTTCAATCTGGAGGCTTTCAACCATAAGTCCAAATACACATTACTTGGGAACAGTGAATAACAACCCACGTTAGACTTACACACTGGTGAGAAATCTGGGTAAAAGGCTACCTTTAATTCTAAGCTCTGTGGGGGTTTTTTTGTTTACACTTACTCGTCAATAGCTTAGAGAAGCCCAGGTCCGGGGCCCGCGCAGTGTAGCATCGGTGTGTGTGGACGGCGCAGTGGTCCGTTATTTGCACAATCACTCATCTGGATTTCAAAGGCAACAGCACATCAGTGGTCTGTGTGTATGTGGTAAGTTCCTAGAAGAACACAGTGCTTTTATATTAGAAATGTAAGTTTTAAGAATGGCATTGTTGCCTTCTGTCAAGTTCTCTGGGACGTTTTAATTTGTATTACTATTATTGTTGGTACATGATTATGGTCGGAAAGACCCTGTCCCCTCCACTGGCTGTTCCCCACAAAGACTGTACAGACAAATAACAGCTCCATCTCTCGACACTTCTTGTGGTGGTGTATGTTCTTGCTCTTGGTGTGCTGTTCTTACGGACTCTTTCCATCCGCAGCCCTTGGGACTGCGTGGCAGTGCTGTGACCCCAGAGGGCCAATCCAGGGTTGGCTTGTGGGTGTAAGGGAGGCAGCCCTTCGCCACGGAGTCCATCTGTGGTTTGTCCCTGCAAGGAGGCTCTAAGCCAAGATACAGCTGCAGAGCAGAGAGATTGCTCTCGCCTTATTTTGGGGGTGGTCCTGGTCGTCTGGCAGCCAGGAGAAAGGCCATGGGCAAGACCAGTCTCTACGGAGGTGGAAAGTGTCCCTGCAGGTAGGGAGGGCTGGAGCATGCATGCCATCCGTCAGTCTCCAGAGGTCTAGGTCAGAAGCCGTGTGCCCTCTGCTGTGGCCACTCTCGGTGTTGCAGGTCCCAGCGTTTCAAGGCCTCGCCACGCATGGTTTGCTTATTGCCCCTTTAAGCCTTCACGGAGGCTCGTGCCTTGTGCTGTTGGCTGGTCACGGCTACCCCCCCACGTAAACACGGTGCCTCAATTCTCTGTCCGCAGCCCAGTCTCCTGCACCCACTCCACCGCAGGCAGCCGCAGGGGAGCTTCTCAAAGCACTGTGATGCCCAGGTCTGGGGCTTGTGCGTGAGTGAGTCTGCACTGTGCTGTCCTGTGGGCTCTCCAGCGTCCCTGCATGTGAGTGTCAACGTCCAGCCTGGCTCCCAGGTCCCAGATGGCGTTTGTAGCACAAGGATTGTGAGCGTGTCTGGCGTGCACGGACTGCGTGCAGAACGTATGGCAGTGACTTGGGCCGAACAGCGGAGTTTATTTTGAGGTGTCCTGAGGGTGGGGCCGATGGAAACGTTTCTCGCATTACCCGATGACTTGCATTGTGGTTTCTGCAAGCTGCTTAGTGACTGTGACAGGCCGCGTATCTCCCAGTCTCTAGATGGATGCCACGTGATGATGATGTAATGACTTTAATCATCGTTCCATTTATATTGTCTTTAGGGCCAGGGAAAGGGGAAGGGTGTTTTTTGTTCTTTTTTATTTTCCCCCGTTCGTTCGTTCTTTTGGTGGTTTCCACCGCTCCTAGTGACGCTGTGACTGACTCTGCTCCCGAGCCCGCGTGTCTGGGGCTTCGCTGTAGGCTCATGTTCAGATCTGCATGCATTGCTTGCATTTTTCTGGTATCTGAATGTTGGTTCCTTGTTAGGAATTCAGCATTGATTTCCAAATTATCATGGGACTTGTGACAACACAAGACATGGATCTGTGTATAAAATTTCTCGGCCTTTCTCATTTACCTGCGCTAGTATTATCGTATCTCGTGTGCGTGCGTGTGTGTGATGTCAGGCTGCCACGTAAAACTTCAGAGAAAAACCTTAAAAGCAGACCATCCTTTTTTGCATGCCCTATTCTAAGTAGAATGTTCAGTGTAACTAACTAAAATTGCATGTTAAAGATATTTAGGTTCTTTGTTTTCTTTTCTTTTTTCTTTTTTTTTAATTTGCTTTCAGTTTCCTGTATATTTGCTTACTGTACTGTTTTAGTGGTCGTAGGATAAAAATGCACTGGTGAAGCAAACGTAGTGCCAACAGAAGGCGAGTTTCCATTGTATATGTCATGCAGCATTTGAGGGGACTGTGCTTTCTTAAATCGCAGTGACTTCTCAGCCAGATTTCATTTCTGTTATCGTTTTATGTGCCAAACCCCGAAGTGCATTGGGCTTGAATCTGAACACTGTAGACCCATTAGAAGACTGTCTTGATTGTCACACATTGTAGTGCCTGAAAACACTCTTAAGCTGAGATTGTCTTAAAAAAAAAAAAAAAAAAAAAAGGAAAGAAAGTCCTCCAAAGACAAACAGGAACAGTTACTCTAACACACAGTCCCGGTCGGCACGTCCGCGGTTCCTCGGAAATGCTGCGTTCTGTGCTCTCCACCAGGAGCGCAGTGGGGTGAATGTGTCGCGTTCAGAGGTCTTCGTGTTCACGTTTTAAAATTAGGCAAATGGCCTCATCTTTCGAGCTTGAATTCATTTTTAATTTTAATTTTATTTTATACGATGTGTAGACAGTTCCCTGTTCTCTGCATTTAGAAGTATACACAATATAAATCTGTTAATTCTGTAAGTAATTTTTATAATTATGATGTAACTCTATCCTATCCTTAAAACATTTAAAATAAACCCTTTATGTGCAACTTCTGACTGTAAAGTTTGTGCTCATGAGCAAAGTGGGATGTGATAACCCTGTCTCTGAAAAAGGTTCTAAGCCAAATAACCTTCTCCACCACATGTGAGTGTCACACGAGCATAGAAAGAAATCGCAGGTTTATTTGAATGGCGACATTGTCCTAAATATAGTAAATAGTGAAGTGTGTGGTGTGTCGATAATTTTAATTTATCAAAAGATTTTAAACTTAAAATCATTGTTTTAAATAGAATTAAATTCTGCGTATCTTGTTTTCACATCTACTCTTTCTTTGAGTACTGGCTGTAATGCTCGTACCACACCTAAACACCAGTTCCTGATTGGGATCCTCTAGTGAAAACAGTCTTTTCTCTCGGTGCTAGGGATAAGGAACTGAGCGTATTAACACCTCTGTGTGTTCTGTGTTTTATTTTGGGTGATCTACATCAGCACGGTAAAGGAGTTTATGATGGCTTTAGAGCTTTTTCATGTTCCTCTTTTTTCTTTAGCCGAAGGATCTCGTGCTGTAGGAAAGGAACCAACCCCCCCCCCGCGCCCCCTTTGCCTGGCTCCCAGAGAGTGGATGATCCTGGGCGAGAGGGATAAACAGAACATGGGCTGCAGGGGCCCCGGCCTGGAGGCTGGTGGCAGCGCGGCGGCTCTGCCAGCAGTGACTCCTGGCAGCAGGGTCTGGGCCAGCTGTGGCTCCAGGAGGAAGCGGGCCTTGGCAAGTGCAGCCAGGCACGCCTGTGTCTGCACGGTGTCGCCTTCCTTGCCGAGGCCGTCTGCGGGCTCTACGAAAGGCAGTCGGTTACTGTTTTCCCCAAAAAGGTAACAAAGCACGCTTGACTGGAAGGCCGGGTGTAATGGCTGCTGTGTGTGAAGCAGTGGCCCAGCTGGGGCCAGTGCCGCCCTCACTGCGGAGAGCGGCCCTCCTTCCCGGCGTCTCTTCGCTGGGTGCCATTGAGCGTGGTGCTGGTGAAAGCATCTCCACTGATAAACACGTGGTGCCTTGTACACTTCCTGTCAGCCTTGTATTTCTTTTCCCTTTTTAACTTTCTCTTATAAATGTATTTGGTTTCTTAATATTGATAACTTTGTACCCAAGGATGTCATCATCAACATAATGCAATCTATTGGTTTGGCAGAAGACTAAGAATATTTGTCTTTTTTTTTTTTTTTAAGAATAATTTAATTTATTACTATTTTTCAGTTTGGCCAGAGAGAGAGAAAGAAAGCAAAAATGCGAGCCACCAGGTCTGGGACTTGAACTACAGTCAACCTTGTGGGAGTCTGACATGACACCGTAACCACCATGCCACCTGCCGGCCCCTGTATTAGTTCTTACCAGTCCTGTGACTTTTCCTCTGCTCTGGGCAGGAAAAGGCAGGGGTTTGACTATCTCACGGAGGACTCCAGAGGCCGTGAGGACTCGGCCGTTCCGTTCTGTGCCCAGGCGGAGCCACTCTGCCAGGTTATCTCAGTGGCGTGATCTGAATCTTAGTGCAGTGTTTTCTGTGAATAATTATTTTGTAACTTTATTTCATAAAGTGATAGCAAAAAAAAAAAAAAAAAGGTTTTCTCTTTTCCAAATTGCCTAATAAAGGATTTTATTCACAGGACCAGCAGGTAGCATCGTGGGTAAGATGCTGGACTCACGTGGCCAACCATGTGTGTGGTTGGAGTCCCAGACCGGACGGCTTGAGAGTTACACAGGGTGCGTGTTTGCTGCGTGCGTGCCCAGAAGCCCAGGAGGATGGAGGAGAAGGGACTGTGAGGCCCTTCCCCTGGGGGTGATTTCTCACTCCCCACCTCCCCCACCTCTCCCCCCAGGTAGCACATGTGCCCTATGCCAAAAACATTTTTTTTAAAAAGGAAAATAAATTATTTATTCACTTCAGCCACTAGAATGTACACATCAGTGTATCTGTGTACCGAGAGTCAGAGCATAAACGTTCTTTTTCCCCCAAGGAGAAAAAAATAAAGTCCTTTATTTTCTCACAAAAATAGACTAAAGTTTAAGTAATTTGCCGTCAAAAGAGTATAGATATGTTTTAAAGACAATTTTAACATACGGAATTAATACTTGATAAAGCCTGAATTGATTTTGTCTTTAGTATACGCTCATTCTTTATTGTTTATAATAATTATTTGTCCTGTGTCATAATCAGTTGCAAGCTTTCAGGCTGTGGAGTTTCCCATAGTTAGGTGAGTCTTTAAATGATTATCTCTGTTCTCTTAGATGGCCCATGTCTGCCTTAAACTGGCTGTGATTGGTTTTGGTCATCTGAGGTTGTCCTTGGCACAGAATATCTGAATTTCAAGATCCTGAAATTCAAGTGGGGGCCTACAGTGGGCGTGTGGGTTCCCGCCGGCTCTGGCCTGCAGCGCGCTTGTGGGTTCCTGCCTGCTCTGGCCTGCAGCGTGCGTGTGGGTTCCCGCCTGCTCTGGCCTCCAGCACCGGCCCAGCCTTCCCGTGCATCAGCTCAGACGGGGATGCCCGTCTGGCATGGCTTCGATGATCACCCCTCTTCCTCATTATCTGCAGCGTGTGCCTCCTGGGGCAAATAAGCACTTACCCAAATCCCCCTAGGCAGAGTGCACTCGGCTTCCTCGATGTGTGGCGGACCGTGCCCGGAGAGTGCCTTTGCAAACCCGGGTGCTAGCTGGGTCAGTTGTCTCCCTAAGGTGGAGCTACAGCATTCTGAATCATCTTCGAGAGGCGGTGAAAACAGCCTTCAAAACTCTGCCTGGAGCTCATCTACATGAAGCTACTTTGTAGGGAATGCAGAAGTTGCTTTCCACTGCCTTCCCCTTACCCACGTGTGTGCGCACAGGAGGGTCTGGCATTCCCGCTCCAAAATGGTCACCGACCGTGGCTGTTTAGAGATTGTGTCAGGGCTGTGCTTTACCTGTGCGAGTATGCACGTGCCTGTCAGAGAGAGGAGCAGAGTATTGATGGGATTACCGCATCGTAAGTAACGGAGCTTTGCTTCAGGTTTTCTTGTAATGCCGCAGTAAAGTAGTCTCAGAGCTGGGATCATTTATTTATTTTTTAGGAATTAGTTGTTTGATGCTATTTTTTATTATTATCTTAAAATTTGCTATAGGGCACATACTCACCAGAGAGAGAGAGAAAGTGAGAAAGCAAGCCACCAGGTCTGGGACTTGAATCGTGGTCAGCCACGTGGCAGTCCAGCGTCTTAACTACCATGCCACGCGCCGGCCCTGGGATCATTTGTTAGTATGATCCAAATCTGATTTGCTGCTTCAGGAAGGGCAGGACTAGCCATGTCTGCACAGTCGTCCAGGGCAGAGCAGTGTGCTGAAGACCAAAGAGAGACATGCATGGATGGCGTCCAGGCTCCCTGCAGCCCAAGCTGAGCCTCTGAGTGGCCCTTGGGGTAGAGGTCGCCAGGGAGAGCAAGGCGGTGCACATGCAGTTATAGCAGTCCGTGGGCACAACTCACCTCCTGAGACCTGCGTGGCCTCTGGCTTGTCGAGGCACATTGACAGTCAACACAGAGGTGGCTCAGCTCAGTCACTGCCCTCTCACTGATTGGTACTTTCTCAAGAGAGTCACACTCAGATGAAACAGGTGTCACAGACCAGAGAAGTGCTGTGGTCATGCCCTGCACAGCATGCACTCCTCAGCCTGGGCTGCTGTAACCAAATGCCCCCCGGCCTTGCGGGAAGTCTCAGCAGCAGCACTTCAGTGACCGTTTTGCAGCCTGGAAGTCTGGGATCACAGTGTCGCCGGGGTCAGCCTCTCCTTGGCCCCCAGGACTGTCCCCTCCCAGTGTCGTTGCCTGGTTGTCTTCTGTGTCTGTTCAGGTAAGACGGTAGCCAGACTGCGTTAGGACTCATCTTGAGAGCCTCATTTTACCTTAATCGCCTTTTAAAAAAAAATTATTTAATTATTATTACTTTTTAATTTGCTCAGAGAGAAAGAGAGACAGGGAAAGTAGAAAGCAAGCTACTGGGTCCAGGACTTGAACCGTAGTCAGCCTCGTGGGAGTCCAGCGTCCCAGCCACCACACTACCTGCCAGCCCTGCTTAATTGCCTTTTGAAAGGCCTTGTCCCTACTTCCGGTCTTATTCCGAGGTACTGGGTGTTAGGGCTTCAACGTTTGAATTTTTTTAAAGAGATTTTTGCTATAGGGTGCATGTGCTTGCCAGAGAGAGAGAAAGTGGGAAATCACCCCCCCCAGGGGGGATGGGTATACATTGCACACAGTGCCCGGTGTTAGTTTCCAGCCACCAGATCCAGGACTCAAACTGCTGTCAACCATGTGGGAGTGCAGCAGCTTAACCACTATGCCACCTGCTGTCCCCCCAACATTCGAATTTTGAATCAATATACTGGGTTGTCGGAAAGTTATATTTTTCTGTTTTTTTTGTATGTGTGTGTGCAAAATGTGTCATGAGTTTCCTGACAACCCAGTTATTTAGTCTATAATAACAAATTAAAAGTTAGTTAGGGGGGCAGCAGGTGGTGTGGTGGTTAAGGCACCGGACACTCACATGGCCGACCGCAGTTTGAGTCCTAGACTTGGTGGCTTGCTTTCTCACTTTTCCCCTCTTTCTGTGTGTCTCTCTCTGGTCAAATTAAAATAAATGAATTAATAAATAAAATTAGTCTTTAAGAAAAAGTTTGGGGACCAGCATGTGCCATGATGAAGGCACTGGACATTCCTGTGTGGGCTGAAGATGGGTTTGAGTCCTGGACCTGGTGGCTCGCTTTTTCTCACTCTTTCTCTCTCTGGTCAAAATAAGTGAATAAATAAATAAAAATAAATATATAAAAAAAAAATTAGTTGGTGGGCCAGCAATTGGCATGGAGGTTAAGGCGCTGGATCCCACATGGCTGACTTTGTGGTTTGAATCCTTGGATTTTCTTACCAATAACCTTACAGTGGAAAAGAAGCCTTACAGTGGGCACTATTTTTTAGCAGAGACTTAATTATGTTCAGCAGTAGCACTCCTTATGATGGAAAGGGTGCGTA